CTGGGTATGTACTTCAGTGGTAGAGTGTCCTAGGTTCAATCCCCAGTACCGTGGGGGAAAAAAATTGTATACATATTTTATTTGGTTCCATAATCATTTGCCATTTCTAGTGTAGGTTTAGTAGCCCTTATCTGGACTTCTGGATTGACTGGAACTAGAATTTTTTTTTTTTTTTTAACAAGTGTTTCTGATTTGAGATTTATTTTTAACTTTGGAATATCTGTAGACGCTTACCAGCTGAGCATCTTTAGTCCAAAAATCCCAAATCTAAAATGCTCCAAAATCATTCAGAAGTTTTTGACTGCTATGTTAGCACTCAAAAATTTGGGGGTTTGGAGCATTTTATATTTCGGAATTTTTTTATCAGGAATACTCAACCTATGTGTCTAAAGTCATACTATATAATTTTATTTCTAAAAAATTATGGACAATGACCATTGATACTGTAATATTTATGGAAAAATATACTGTAACAGTGAGAATATTATATTGTCTATTCTTGTTTGCTAGGGCTACCATAACAATAGGCTTAGTGATTTAAACAATATAATTTTATTTTATCAGGGTTCTAAAGACTAAAAGACCAAGATTAAAGTGTGAGTAAGTCTGGTTTCTGGTAGATAGCTACCTTTCAGCTGTTTCCTCACATACAGTCTTTTTTCTTTTATATGAAGGACCCTAGTGTCTCTGTGCCCAAATTTCTTCTTATAACAACACTAATTAGATTCAGTTAGTACTCTAACAGCCTTATTTTAATTTAATTTTCTCTTTATAGGTCCTCATCTTCCAAATACAGTCATATTCCAAGATGCTAGGGATTCCAGTTTCAAGACAGTTTTTGGGTCACACTATTCAGCCCATAAAACTGCTGATTTAGCATACCAAAGCAGTGGGGAAAATGATATTAATGCATACACTTCAATATCTGACTTGATACAACATAATAATAATTCTAAGCAAAATAAAAATAATCCTAAAGTAAATCCAAAGTAAAAATAATCCTAAGCATAAAAAACTCAAGTCACCGGGCTAGGGTTATGGCTCAGCAGTACAGCGCCTGCCTGGTATTTGTGACCCCCTAGGTTTGATTCTCAGCACCACATACAAATAAGAAAAAGAAAAATCATCAACAACTAATAAAAATATTTAAAAAACTCAAGACAGCATTTGTTAGAACAATGCATATGCTGAGCATAACATCAGACATCAGACTCCCTAAACTAACCTCATTTATTTGTCTTTCATTCAACAATCTCTACTTTAAGTTTTCCCTAATACTTTAACCTTTTTTTTTTTTTAAAGGAGTAGGGAGGGCTTGATGATAATTATTTTGATGAAAAGGTAAGTGAGCTAGAATATGAGAAGCTACAAGTATTCTATTTACTTATATTCTGTTTGGCTACAGACCAGATACTAGAATAGGAAACATAATATTTTTACCGTTAAATTAAGATATATATTTTTCCATAAATATTACACAGTGTCAATTTTTTGTTTTATTATCTCCAACAGAAGTAAAAAATATACTAATCACCTTCAAATTTTCAGAGTAAACTGATTTGGGCTTGCTCAGGTCAACAGGAATGAATTAGTACTATTTTGTGCATAAGCAGGTGGTAAAGAAGAATGAAAATAAATGACATATTAGAGATGATGAAGAATCAGACAAGATGGGGAGTAAAATTGACTGAATTATATTGTTATATTGTGTGCTAGTACAAATATGCAACAATAAATCCTACTATTATGTATAATTATAATGCACCAATAGAAAAAATTATCAAAGCAAAATTTAAAAAAAGAATCAGAAAAATATCACAAAGGTTCAAAGGTTTCCTGGAAGATATGACACTTATTCAAATTGTATTTTGAGAGCTTGGTAGCTGCTCAAGTAATGCAAAAAGGCAAATAAACCACTATGAGGAAAGACACACTGATATTTAAACCAATAGTGAATGTTACAGAAGTAAAAATAGCCTAGTATTGACAGAATTTGAAAAAACATGTGAAGGGGAATGCAATAAGATAAATAAGAACTGGGAAGAAGCTGGATCATTCCATTTTATAAAGAATCTTAAATCATAGAGAGCACAAAATTTGTGAATGGCAGAACCAGGATTTGCATCCAATCTTAACATTTCACTTAGCAAAGTGACCACATTCCCTACTTTTTGTAGGTCATACGGTTTATAACTATTGGTTTTTATGTCATTATTAATACAGCCTTCTATCATCTCTATAAATGCTCCTCTGGGAAATATCTTCACCCTACCTCTTCGGTAACTATGACATATTTTTCTTTGCCCAAGAAAAATGGGGTTTCCTTAACTCCTCTCATTATAGAGGAATTAATTGCTGACAGAGATTATACTGATAAAAATAAGGGAACATTTGAAAGGACTACCATCATCTTAACAAATAATCTAACATATACTAGAATTAAACTGTCTTTTATTTTTTAAAAAAAGTCATTATTTAAACACACACACATACACACACACACATATACACACAAAGATGGTAGAGACAACAAAAAGGAAAATGGATCATTCTTCCAACTTTAATATGATTCAAAGAAACTATGGACTCAGAACACTTCAGTTACACCATGACCATAAACTAAAACTGCTTATGGAAAGGTAGTTGAATTCTAGTCACCCTTGGCCAAAACATGTCATTTTTGTTTGCACAAGTTCTGAAGCACACACTCTCGTATTCTGTCCTTCAAAAAATTAATATTTACCCTACTGAAAAGAAGCTGCAACAAATTGCTTATTCTTCCTCATTCTCATGTTTTTTGGCATTCAGGTATTTGCTTTTACTGGCTAGGACACAGGCAAATGATTGGGCCCAGTGATGTCCCCTAAGGGGAAGTAGGCAGTGTCAGTGGGCTGTCTGGGAAAGGTTTCCTTCCTTGATAAACACAAAATATGAAGAAGATGTTTTCTATTCTGCCCCGATTCATTTTTAATTTTTCTCTGGATATGGATGTTTAAAAGCGAATTGTACCAATCATCCTGTGACCAAAAGGAAACAAGGCTAAGTCCCTATCCGGGAAATTAAGGGGGAAAAAAAAAAAAAACACCCAGGAAAACCTTAAGCCCTCACTGACATCACTGAAGAGTTTAATAAACTTAAAAGCCCATCCTCTAAATGCATGATCCTATACAACAAATGTTCTTACTCTTCAGGTCGCCTAAAATTGGGTATTCTTTTACTTACAACTAAGAGCATACCAACTGACCTGATAGGTCTAGCAAGGAAATCACTCAGGGCAACTATTATGACCTTCTCAAACTCAAAAACGTGAATTTAAAAAGGAAACACAAGGATTAAACATCTGAAGAAAGAGGGTGAATTTTCTTTTCCCAGAAATAACACATAGTATTTTCCTATGTGACAGATATTATATTTGCTGGATTATCTCAGATAACTTTCAAAACAATCCCAGGAAATATTAATTCCATTTTATAGAGAAAAAAACTGTAGCTTAGAAAAGTTAAACAATCTGCCAAGGTCACATTCCTCCATAGTGGTTGAAGAAGCATTTATAATCCGTATCAATTTACTTAAGCCTAAGTGCCTAAATTTTGAGTTTAGTAGAAGATAAATGGCTCAATTATCTATTATTTTTCTATGAAGAAGAGATTTAAGTTTTCTGGTGAGCATGAAAAATACATACAGGAGGGTAAAGAACTTGGGACCATGATTGTAATTTTGAACAACCAATGTTTTGCAATGGCAAAACGACTTTCTTAGTTTATAATAGACGAAATCAAGGCTTAGAAAGAAGAAACAAATTACAAAAAGATGTATTGTAGGGAGTGGCAAAGTCAGGAATGAACTCAGACTAGTGTACTTTTCATTTCACTGTATACTGTTTTCCCTTGAAACAAATGCAACCTATCTCCAACATTCATATGGGGGGAGGGTTAAAATCTGTAATACATAAAACTACATAGTCTTACTAAAATAGATTGATAATAATCCCCTGCTATCTGTAATTTTACTTCCCACAGTTTTAGTTACCTGCATTCAACCATGGTCTGAAAATGTTAATATTTGTCTTGACTCTTCCAAGAAAGACCATATTCACATAATTTTTATTATAGCATTATTATAACTATTCTATTTTTATTATTAGTTATTGTTGTTATGACTAGCATAAATTAAACTTCATCATAAATGTATGTGTAGGGAAAAAAACATGATATATATATAAGGTTTGGTGTTATCTGTGGTTTTAGGAATCCACTGGGAGATGTTGGAATAGTATCCCTTAGGGATAAGCAGGGACTACTATACAGAACTCCAATTTATCTATTTGTTGATAAGCTTTGACATGAAAAAAGGGACAACAAAACTGTTTATGGTATAGATACATAGTAGCAAGAAAAAATAACATAATAAAAAAAATTTCAAGATACCTATTCTTCCACGCTCAATGTTTGAAAGAATTAAGATTTTCTTGGTAAGTATCAACATGTTAAAGGTAGTTGAGAATACAATGACTATTTCTCATTAAATGTTCTAAAAAACATACTTTTTGGAAAATAATCTTAAGAAAAACTAAGCAAATTGACAAACTGGAGAACCAGTATCACATTTTTCCTATAGCAGAATAGGCCAATTGGGAATTATTATTAATTTCTCCTAACAATTCATGATTATATAGACATGGACTAGGACTACTAATATGTTAAAATCCAATCATTTGACAATATATAGCTATATGCAAAAGAAAAGATAGGGATAGAGAATGTGTACGATTATTGATATTAATACAAAATACCAAAGGGATAGCAGGTGGGGAGACAAGAACATCTGACACTGAGAAATTCCACATTTGGATTCCCAAGAACTACTTATTCTTTTTCCTGGGAATAATAATTTTCATGAATTAAGTTGATGTAAAGGTTTACTCATTAATCAATGATTTCTAAAAATTTCACATTTTAAAAATACTATTAGGATAAAACTAAAACACAGAACTGGCTTACTCTGCAATATCAAGATATCCACAGGAAGCAGCTGCATGTAGTGGTATCCAGCCTTCATTATCAGGTTGATTGATATTTGCTCCATTTTCTACCAGAAACTTCACCATATCAACATTGTCATCAATGCAGGCCTAAAAACAAAACAGAAAGCATGACTGGAAAAAAATGTGAATCAACACTCCAAATAAAAGATCAATAAAACAAAATTCCCTTTGTAAATTTTATGATATAAATACTTTCTGTATATTAGTTTGCAGCTACCTTATTATATATCCAATAAGACAATGATACCAACTAAACTATAAGAGTCCTTGCTTAGACACACATATAATACTACTGCATGCGACCACTCTCTCTATGGTAACCCAGTTAGGAAAAAAAAAACATACTAAATGAAAACAATCAAAATATTATAATTATCAATAATATTCTTCATAGCAGTGATTCCCAAAATATGATCTGCTGTTGGCTGGGAGGCCCAAAAACCTTTCAGGGAGTGAACAAGACCAAAACTATTTTCAAAAGAACTTTGTTGATGTGCACTGGAGGATACAAAAGCCATACTGATAAAACTATGTGCCTTAGCAAAAAACAACGAAACAACCACCTCTATTAATAGTCACTGTATTGACCACTACACATCCACTGTTTTTTTTAAAGCTCTTTTTACTTATGAATGTTCTTGACAACGTTGTGAAAATTATAAATTTTATTAACTCTTTACCTTTGAACACCTTTTTAATATCCTATGGGAAAGATGGGAAGTATGCATTAAAGTACTTTCTTGAGGAAAAGTATTTATACCAATGAGTTGCAAACTGAACAATCTTTTTTGCAGAAAATATTGTTTTTAGTTAAATGAGAAACTAAGTCTACCTTTGTTCTCACAGATATTTTCTTGAATATGAACAAAATGAACCTGTAACTTCAAGAAAAGCAACTGATATCAATATGCAACATGTAAAAGCATGTATTTGTTACCAATGAGAAATTCAAGTGCAAGAGAAAATGAATGAGCCATTTTAATTTTAAAATGTTACTGATGTAAAATAAGAAATTATTGTTATTTTTAAATGAATTAATAAATATTTTAAGTCCTTAGCATTAATTTGTAATACTGTAAATATTAATACATATAACCTACAAAAAACAAAAAATCATTGGGATTGTCAGTAATCCTTAAGATTCATTATTGTAATAAAGAGGTCCTGAGATGAAAAAAAATCACTAGGCTCCAGCCATAGTGGGCACCTTTCTATTCCTTTACCAGGTATCTCAGGGCCTTGTACTTGCTTTTTCTGTCAGAAATCAACTTCTCCAAACACAGGCATGCTGATTCTTTCCACTGTACAAGTATCAATGTAGGTGCTTCTTCCTCATAAAGGACATTTTGAACATTTTTTTAAAAATAATTTCACTATTCTATCACATTTTCAATAATAACAATATCCACAATTACCTAACTTATATTTGTTTTCCATCTCTGCTACAATGTAAGTTCCACAGAAAAGGAACCTTGTTTATCTTGCTCATCACCAGAGATATAAACCTAGAACAGAGCTTGGCATGCAGAAAGTTATTTCTAAATATGTATTTTTCAAATGTGTTCTGATTACTCTTATTTACGTATACTCCATCCAATCAACTTGACTTCTTTGCTCTTCCGTGCTATACTCCATGCCTTTCAGCTTTGAAATCATTCATTTTCACTCATGAACTGTCTGCTTCACAAGACAAAACATACACAAATTCTTCCCATCCTTCAAGGCCTAGCACAAATGTCACCTTATCTGTCTATCCTAGGGATTAGACCAAGGGACTCTCATATATGCTAAGCAAGCACTCTACTGAGCTACACTTTCCAGTCCAAAATATATTTTATTTTAAAAGCTTTCTAAATAGAATCACTTATTGATATGTATGTATATTGTGATGTATGTATTATGTGTGTATTATAAGCACTTCATACATGTCCTATAAGATAGGCTATTTTTATAGGAAGAGCCTATTTACTTTCTTGGAAGGCTTCCTGGTACTGGCACCAATTATAATCATTATAATATGGTCCTTAAGCAGATAAAATTCTCTATGTATTATTACTAGGACTGGTGCCTAAGAATATGAGGTCTATGTGATGCAAAAAGGGTATTTTTTATGGGGTAAGGAAAGTGAGATTAAATCCACTCAAGAACTAACTCTTCTTTTTCTCCTAATTTATACAAAGTCACCATTTATCCAGAGGAATAAGTGGCTTTCCCCCCCCCCCCCGAGTAAAATGGGGCAAATAAACTAATCAATCTCTATTTCATATCTATCTTAAGAATATAGCTGGGGCTGGGGTTGTGGCTGAGCGGTAGAGCACTCGCCTAGTAAGCATGAGGCCCTGGGTTTGATCCTCAGTACCACATATAAATAAATAAAATAAACGTATTGTGTCCAACTACAACTAAAAAACAAATATTAAAAAAAAGAATATAACTGACACATAACCAGAAGTATACCAGCTGATGTCTATCCTCTTGAAATTCTTTTTAAGTGGCTCTAATATAATTTATTAGTAGATGTATTAATTATACTGTCTTTAATACATTTACTGCCAATAGAGCTCTGTGGGAAAATTTGTGTGCTAGTCATTTAAATGTATTTCAAATACCAAGTTTATTAAGAATCCACAAGGACATTTTAAAGTAGCTACTGAAAATAATAAAGATGAGTATGTCATGACAAAATGATTCTCAGATTTTGCTCTACACAGAGCATTACCTTCATCTACTATCTCTTTAAAAAAAGCTTCAAACTGGCACTTCAACTTGTAGTCAATTTTTAACCACCAAATTCTGTTTATATTCAGGAAAAGAACCTATTTTCTGGAGACAAAAACATATTATACGGTAACTGCCGCAGTCTGGCTGGGCACAATTCAGGAGCCACTTGTCAAAAGAAACGAACTTTATTTTTAGAACCACACAGGCCAAACAAAACAGCTCCTCAGGAAAAACCCTCAGAGCCCAAATGCCACCACCAGCTTCCCACAAGCCTCTCACACCAACACACAAGCCTCTCACACTCCCACAATCCTCCTGCTCTTAAGGCAGATTGGCTGGGTCGCGTGGGCGGAGCCAAAGAAGTTCCCCAATGAGCAGCTCCCTGGTCTGAAAGGGCAGGGAAACAGCCCAATGAGCATCACCGCAGAGGAGCCAATCAGCTAGATGTTGCTGGGGCCGCTGTGAGCCAATCATCAGCCGGCAGCTGGAAGTTTGCTGGCAGCTGGAAGTTTGCTGGGGCCCCTTCGGCTGTGGCTCTCAACAGGTAACAAAAAGGCATTAATGGCAGAAACAGTATAATTGATGGATAAAACACAAAAGAACTTCTTTAGGGTTATTTCAATCTAGAAAAAACAGTTTGGGATGGCTCATCAGAAACAATGAACCAATGCTATAGCAAATAAATGTGTTCAATCTGTATCCTCATTTTGCAATTGAAATCTCTCTTTAAACGTCAGCTTTTTGGTAAGGCCTTTCTTGGCCATCATATTAAAAATTACAATCCCTTGCCCCATTCATTTTGCACCCTGAATACATGCTTTATTTTTCTCCATACCATTTATTACCACAACATACTATATATATTTTCTCTTACTTTAAAAAAAATTTATTTTTTAAAAAAATAAATGACAGCAGAATGCATTAAAATTCTTATTGCACATATACAGCACAATTTTTCATCTCTTTGTTGTATATAAAGTATGTTCACACCAATTCACATGTACATTGGATAATGATGTCCATCACATTCCACCATCCTTGCTAACCCCCTGCGCCTCTTCCCCACCCCTCTTCCCTATCTAAAATTCGTCTATTCCTCTCATGCTCCCCCTCCCTACTCCACTATGAATCAGCTTCCTTATATCAGAGAAAACATTCGGAATTTGTATTTTGGGGATTGGCTAACTTCGGTTGGTACAGTGCTTGCCTCGCATGCACAAGACCCTAGGTTCAATCCCCAGCATCACAAAGAGGGGGAAAGGAAAAAGATACTATATATTTTTTCTTATTCGTCTGTTTATCATCTATTTACCTTACTCTACTATGATTGTTTGATGAGAACAGGAATTCTGCTCTATCCCCAGTACCTATACAGTGCTCGGCATGTGGTAGGAACACAATGAGTGAACACAAAACAAAAATTCAAAGGTATTTAGCAGCTTGAAGAAAGTCATACAGGCAAGAGGTCACAGAACCAATAAGTTCTTTCCAGATTTAACATACCACTTTCCCACAAATGTTCCTAGTTTATCAACATACATTCATTTGCAGTCTCTACAAGAGGATCACATATTCCAGCCATTTAATAAGTATCTGCTGTATAAATAAAATCAATTTTGCTTTACCATTGAAGCATAAGAAATGCTTTTAGTAACATTTTCCTAAGCAAGAAAATGACAAAGTTTATGCCAAGAAAAGTATCATCCACCTAAAATGGAAAAGCAAAGAATGAGTTCTGGTTCTGCCAAAAATTTTGTGGCTGTGGACAAACAATCATCCTAGGCTTTGGTGTCTATCATTTAAGTAAAAGGAAGACATTGATGTGTTATATATCACTAAAATTCCCTATTATATTGAAATGCCTATGTATCCATGATTCTTCCCTCTGTAACAAGTTATAAACAATCTGAAGGCAGGGTCCCAAAGTGCCCTGAACATATTCACACATACAAGATAATAAATGAATATATAAATAACATTTAGATCAACTTTTAAAATGTACTGCTTGAAAAAAGAACTTTATGTTTTTCATGGATCAGTGGTTAAAAGAAGAAAGATGTCACAGATATAAAATAACAACAAAAAGAACATAAAAATACTATTATATTAGGAAGTAGCTTATAATATGGCATTGACATGAGCTAGTGAATCAGTGATAAAATATTAGAGCTATTTATAAGCATAATCATTAATTTTCCTTGAGAAAAGATACTTATTAAATCTTATTCTTTTTTCCTCTTTGAATTCTAAGTGACAAAAAAGTTATTGATTTTTCTAAATACAAAAATATAAAACTATTCAAAAAATGTGATACAAATAAGATTATTGTTTTAAAAATAAAAGAATAGGGCTGGGTTGTGGCTCAG